TATATTTTAAAAATGTATAAATCACTATTTAGCCTCTGAAATGGTTTAATTGACGAAATTTTAAACAATTCGATAATTAAATTTGTTGAAATTAAAAACTAAGGACTACATTAATAGTTGGGAAATAATTGAGGGACCAAAATATTGATTAACTCTAAAAAAAAAAAAAAAAAAAAAAAACAATCATTAAAATATAGAAAAAATTAAAATAGCAAAAAGACAAGTGATGAGTGTGAATAATTTGAAACTCAAAAATAGTATCTTTGGAACAAATTATCATAATCTTGTCCTCACTGTTCCTGCTCTTATATTACAAGATCAATGATATTATTTTGTTCATAAAATATTTATAATTATTTTTTTTTTTGAAGGCAAACCAATGTGGTTATATTAGAGATAAATTGAAATAGAGTCAGGAGGGACAGAGTCCCAATTATTTGAACATTATAATTAACAATATATATTCTACATATTATAGGATCATTTGTAGAGTATTGCTCGAGAAGCATTCTTAATAGTATTGAAACTTTGTCATAGTTTTTGACCAAATAGAAGAAAAATGAGGAGGAAAAATAAAATAAAAAATAGAGAAAAAATAGCGTGAAATGAGTGCGCGTAACGGGCACCAACAATGTTGCCTCTTTTCTGTTTTTTCTCCAAAAAAAAAAAAAAAAAAAAAAAAAAAAAACTCATATTGTGCTTTCTCTAGGTGTGACATGTTACTTTTTTTTTTTTTTTTTTTGGTGACAAGAAAAATTGCAATCACTATCCTAAGATGTGTATTGTATAAACTTTAATCATATATAATAATGTGTTAACCACACATGAATGATAAATACACTAAAAAAAATTATGTGTGACAAACTCGATAACAAATGTGTTAACAAAAATCAAACTACATGTTACTTACATTCAATCATACAACTATAGTATATACGTAATATAATTTATTTTCCTTGTAACTATTTATTATTTAATAAAAATAATTTGATAATATTCACCAAATTATTTTTCATTGTAAAATGAGAGAGACTGAAAACGTCCAGCTATTTTGAGTATACTATTGGTGGGCCAAAATCATACTTTAGTCCATGCCCAAGGAAGCCAATAAGAGTAAAAAAAATGTTGAAAATCATTTTCACAAAACTGATTTTCTTTAATTACTCTTTTTTGTTTTAATCACTACCCACCCCAATTTGTTGTTATAGCCCATTTATGCAAAATAAATTTTCTCCATTACCGTCCCACCCAATTAATGTTGACTTTTATCTTACATTTATTACTAAAATAACTATTAATGCTTGGCGCAAACCATGATTATGCCTCCCTTCAAAAATATAAAAGACAATAACATTCACACCATATTAACTACGTTCAGACTATAAGTTGATAAAACGATAATTAACAAAAGGAAAAATGACACTTTTTCCCCCTATGTTATATACTTATAGCATTTTTTCCCCCTCAATTATTTATGTAAGCACATTAGCCCCCTCAATTATTTTAAAAGTGGTGGTTTTCCCCCCTAATATATTAAATTGACATTTCTACCCTTAAAGTAAACATTTTATTTATTTTACTTCTCCAACAAATTATTGCGTATATGTAGCTATTACCACGGTTTGGTTCGAACTGAACCAGACACTATAGCAATCGAATTAAAAGTTTTCAGTTATGATTCAGATCTAGAACCCAATATTTGGATTTCAATTTATTAAATTTAAGAATAAAAAAAAATTGGATCATGAACCGGCGGTTCCGGATCCCGTTCGCGATTTTGAACTGTCTATATTTAAAAATTTTATTTTTTATTTTAAAATAGTTTAAATTCAACAATAAATGTATTTTATTTTTCCAGTTCGGAACATGAACCGGCCATTCCAGTTCGCGATTTTAATAAACTCTAAATATCGCGTTTTGATTATAAATTGTAATTGGAATATTTTGGTTTGGTTACTACAGTATCTGGTTTGAACCAAATTATAGTAATAATTTATTGGAGAATAAAAATAAATGAAATATTTATTTTAAGGGTAAATATGTCCATTTAACATTTCAGGGGGAAAAAGAGCCACTTAAATAATTGAGGGAGAAAAAATGCTATAAGTATATAACATAGGGGGAAAAAGTGCCATTTTCCCTTAACAAAAAATGTTTTGTGTTAAATACTTGTTCAACTTTTAATAAAACAAATGTAAGACATGGTATGTCTTATTTCCACAACACATAAACATTGCCAAAACTTTATAACTTTATGTGGTTTTGGTAAGAGTATAATGTTTCACTACAATACAATACAAAAGGTGAATCAAATACAATATTAACTATTATATTTAATAACTTAGTAGTTTGTGATAGTATTTATTTATTTTTTTTGGTTGGTCATCGAAGAAAACCTTAAGCATGCACTAATTAGGCAAGTCGTGAGACCACACGCATCAGCCCATAGAATATCTTTTAAGCAAGATGTGAACCTTAATAAGAGAGATTCTTCATTTTCGCACATATTGAATATTAATTATGTTTTATTAAATTAAAAAAGAAAAAGAAAAGATTTGTTAAGATTTGATCATCTTTTTTTTTTCTTTTATATATCAAGATTGAAAATTAAAAAAATATATTTATTAAATGTGTTTATAATAATTTTGTTTACAAAACAATTTATAATCATCCACTGTGTCTATAATAAGAAAAACACATTTAGACATGTCATTGTGAATATTTTTTTGTATACAAACACAAAAGTTATCATTTTAGGAAAGCATTGCTCCTTCATTGCAAGACTAATCAATATTTGATCAGTCTCATGTACGTAGAGTTTAACTTCGTAGGAACATTGGTCAGTCCTGGTTTGTGACATGTCACACGTGCATGAGATATTCTCGTGATGCCTTTACTTGTGAGCAACTGTTTATAGGCTGTCATGGGAGGGATAAGGCGTGATCGGTTGTCGTATTCTCAAGCATGAGTTTGATTGCCACTTTCAATTTCATCTCCAACACAACTTTGTCCAACACCATATCTTTAATGAGAAGGAATTCCGTTATAAGACCCCACAATTCAATAATAAAATTGTTAGTCATCTCAATTTCACAATAAACTCGGGTGATCTATCATTGAGATGATCATGTAAAAGGCCCCCGCACTGGTCAGGCCGGAGCTTGTTTTCTTTACCCCATATGTATTCCGTTTGTGATAATTATTCAGGTTGGAATATTGGATGTTGTCAGCAAAAACAGATTTCGTTGCATAGAATTACACACATTGTTGTTGTTGTTGTTATTATTATTATTATTATTATTAATAAGTATTCCCATTTTAAATTAATATCCCAAATGCAATAATAATCTCCAAAATTGGGCACATCCAAAGTTTAAACTTGTTCAATTTTTCTAAATGTTTAATAGAGAGATCCTTCATTTTTGCACATCTTTTGCACATCTTAGATATTGATTATTTTTATTAAATAAAAAGAAAAATAATAGAAAAATAATAGAAAAATAAAATATTTGTTGAGATTTGATCTCTCTCTCTTTTGCAAGTTTGTTGGAAATTTTAAAATATATTTCTTAAATGTGTTTATAACAAATTTGTTTACAAGCCAATTTGTAATTATTTATAATAATAATAATAAAACACATATAGACACGTTAGTGTGAATATTTTGTTGTATACAAACACAAAATTTAGCATTTTAAGAAAGTATTACTGCTTCATTACAAAACTAATTCATATTTTTTTTTTTGAATACTAATACTAATTCATATTTGATTAGCCTCGTGTTCGTAAAGTTTAACTTGGTAGGAACATTGATCTGCCCTGGTTCTAGTTTGTGACGTATCACACATTTTCCATACCATCTACACACTTATTAACACCCCCCCCCCCCCCCCCCCCCCCTTAAAACATGAGATATTCTCGCGATGTCTTTACTTGTGAGCAATTGTTTATAGTTTATCGCCGAAGGGGATCAAAGCGCGATCAGTTGTTGTATTCCCAAGCATGAGTTTGATCGCCGCTTCCAATTTCATTTTCACCACAACTTTGTCTAACAGACTAACACCATCTATTGAATAAGAAGGACCCCCTTTATACGACTTCACAATTCAACAATAAAATTGTTAGTAATTTCAATTTCACAATAAACTTTGTGATCTATCCCTGAGATGATCGTGTAAAACGCTCCACACTGATCAAACCTGAACTTGTCTTTCTTGTCCCATCCGTGTTTCGTTTGTAATAGTTAGTAAGATTGGATGTTGTATGCAAAACAAATTCCGTTGCATAGAATTATACAAGTTATTATTATTATTATTATTATTATTATTATTCTCAATTTCTCATTTAAAATTAATGTCCCAAATGCAACAATAATCTCCAAATTTGGGCACATCATAAGTTCAAACTTGTTGACTTTTTCTAAATGCATAATATATAGATCCTTGATTTTCGTCAATATTGATTATTTTTTAGTTTAAAAAAAGAAATTAAAAAAGATTTATTGATATTTGATTTTTTTTGTTTGTTTGCATATCAAGATTGAAAGTTTAAAAACATATTTCTTAAAATTGTTTATAATAATTTTGTTTACAAGATAATGTACTCACTGTATCTATAATAAGAAAAACAAATTCAAACATGACATTATGAATATTATGAATGTTTTATTATATACAAAACACAAAGGATATGTTTTTAAGAAAGTATTAATTTTTTGATATGACATTCGATATCGATCGTTGGACTAATTCATATTTGATCTGTCTCATGCTCGTAGCGGTTAATTTGGTAAGAAAGTATATTATTTAATTTTATATTTAAAAAAAAAAAAGAAAAAGAAAAAGAAGAAATGAGGAAAATAAAATTTAAAAAAAAGGGTTAAATTATCAACCTCGTACAATTTTTGGTAAATATTTATTTATGCATTAAATAATTAAATAATCGCCTCTATATATACGCGTGAGTATAAAAGGGGAGTGGAGAGAGAGTGAGAGGCCGTTCCTTTTCTCAAGCTTTAATGGCGTGAGACCGTACCTGAGAGTGCGAGTGTAGATGTATATGTATATGTGTACGTATATTCTCAGTATAACCGTAGCACCGTATGCCGTATGTAATCCATTCATCTTTGCATGCTTCACCAACTCCTGATAAAGAAAACCCAAAACCCAAAATGAGTTGAAACAAGAAAATTACAATAAACACTTCAAGGGGGGCAACCAAAAAAAAAAAAAAGGGAACAAAAAACACCGCCACAGCCATTGCCATTCTTATCATCCGGACTTTGGATAATCCGAGACCAACGCCTAGATGATAAACGCGGGTAATTTATTGCGGTTATTGGGCATTTTCCAGTTTTCTGATCAGTTGTTCAGTGGGTATTATTGATGATTTGATTGCTTTTATTTGTTGTGAGATAGTATTGATATTCTGTCTGTGTTGTAATATTTATAGTGGATTTGTTGTTTTTTTGTTGGATTTTGTGATGTTTGAGAGAGTTGGGATTGAGAACAGAATTGGAGTGAAGATGAAGGATGATGAGGAGCTGGAGATGTTGTTGGATGAGATCCCTCATGCAACATCCTTCAATCTTCATCATCCACATAGCAATGGATATTATGATTATGATGGGAGGGGTGATCATGGCCATGGGTCTAATGTGAGGCATAAAGTGTATGAGCATACATGTGTTTCCCCTGTCAGTGGATTTTCATTGAAATCTGATGGCTCTTCATCTAGCTTGTTCTCTGGTGGATCACCCACCCCTTCCCCATTGGAAGAGGTAAAACCCCATTTGCTGTGTGGTACTTCTGGTAGTGTAAACAGATCTCCTGATTGTTATGTTGATAAGAGGCTGAGTGAGAGTAATTTTCATGAACTGAATCTGTCTAGGAATTTCGGTAAAATGTATATTAATGAGGAGCAGGAGAGTGGTTTAATTGGTCCCAATAGTTTTCAGTCTCGTGATCACTCAGTTGCCAAGAATATGAAAATGGTTTCTGAGAAGTACTGGGGTTTTGATAATAGTAGGAAGGGGTTTTCTGATTTTGGAGGTCTTGCATCCCCTGTTCCAGTGACGAGAAATCCTCTAGGTGTTAGTGGTCAGGTGGCTTCTCCAGTGGTACGATCATCCTCGTATGATATTGGGGGCGTTAATCTATATGCAATGAAATACTCTCCTGGTCTGTCAAATGGATTGGTTTCTGAATTGAATTCGAGCAGCAGTGCTATTGATTCACAACTCCACCAGACAAAAGTGCCCACCAGTCCTCTCTATCAGATAGGAATTCCATTCTCAGACTTGCCAAGTAATGTTACGAGCAATGCTGCTGCTAGTTTTCCATATGCTCCACGAAATGGAAGGTATGCTACTGAAGATTCTAACAATGTGCCTCACTTGACTCACATAAAGCCTCATATCGATTCAGAAAATGTGTTCTATTCGCATCAAACAGTGTCAAATGGAAGGTACCAGGCACATTCCAATGCTAGAATGCCTAACGGAAACCTTGAGGCCTTTGATCGGGAGGATAGCTTTATTATTCAAGGGGAACACGTAAAATATGGCATGAGCAACGGGCATCGTAGTTCAATGGGACACACCAGTAAGAGATCCGTACATGAGACTAGTTTGGTTATGCCTCAAGAAAAGACGTCACAGATAGATGGCTGTCCCCAGATCAAAGGCGTTCAGGAAAGTGGTCTTGGTGGGAGGTTTTACTTCCCTTTCTCTCAGCCACTCAAGCTTACCTCACTTGGAGAAGCTCAAGGGTATATATATCATATAGCAAAGGATCAACATGGTTGCAGATTCTTGCAAAGAATGTTTGATGAGGGAACTCCTCGAGATGTGCAGATAATATTTAGTGAGATAATTGATCATGCTGCCGAACTTATGATGAACCCTTTTGGAAATTACCTTATGCAAAAACTGTTGGAAGTGTGCAATGAAGAACAAAGAATGGAAATACTTCTCAGAGTGACTGAAGAGCCAGGCCAGCTTGTCAGAATATCCTTAAATACCCATGGGTAATTGATTTTGCCAATATTCCCTTTAATGTTGATTGAACACAGAAATTTTACTTTTCATTTTTTTTGGTATCAGAACTAGAGTGGTTCAAAAGTTGATCGAGACACTGAAAACCAGGCAGCAAATCTCGCTAGTTGTTTCATCACTTGAACCAGGATTTCTTGCTCTTATCAAGGACTTGAATGGTAATCATGTTATCCAGAGATGCTTGCAGTATCTTACCAATGGAGACAGTAAGGTATTGCTTTAGTTTTCAGGTCTTTGTTCTGTGCTGCAGATTGCATCATTTATTGCCTAAATAAAATGAAGATCTGGTCATAGTTTACTGTATCCTTTAGTCTTTTTGAACTTAGTTATAATTTTATAATAAGGAAAGAATTGAATATTTTCATAAAAACGTCCTAGAAGATGACAGAAGTATATGTGGTCAAACTTATCTATTAAGAATAGTATTCAGTTGAACCTGAAAGATACAACTTTAGTAGTCCAATGAATTAAAAACATTAGCACCATATTTTCTTACTGTAATTTAACTTTTCATTATGTTTTCTTCTGTGACATTAATGTCTACGCCATCTTATTATTGATTTATTGATGGTTTATTACATTATCAGAATTATTCGTTTGAGTATAACAAATTTAGTTCCTAGTTTGTCTTGTCTAATTTATTCCACATTTGGCAGTTCATATTTGTTGCAGCTGCAAAGTACTGCGTTGATATTGCAACACATCAACATGGCTGTTGTGTTCTTCAAAGATGCATCGCCCATGCTACTGGAGAACATCGGGAAAACCTGGTTGCAGAAATTTCTGCCAATGGACTTCTTCTAGCTCAGGATGCATTTGGGTAATAAATCACAATGGAAAAGACTCAAGACAAACTTTTGTTTGCACTAATAAACATTACATTGTGAACATAAGATTCTTTATACCAGTAGTATACATCTTAAATGCTATGGAAGGGTTGAGTTCTAAATTTCTATGTATTTGCCATCAAGGGCTTGTTTAGAATATCGTGCCTCTCACCTTTTATTCTATACTTTTTACAACTATTTTGGCTCTCCTTAATGCATAATACATCTAAACACTTCAATTTCACAGATTCATTTTCGTACATCCTTTGTCCTTGATAAGATTATTCATCTGATGAGATTTCTTTTCATCACTGTGACAGAGGATTATATTTTGTTAGTCGTTCATCATTTCTGGCTTAACTGAGGCCTTTTGTTTATCTGTTTCTGTGCAGAAATTATGTTGTTCAATTCATAATGGAGCTTAAGATACCATCTGTGACATCCAAGTTAATGTCTCACTTTGAGGGTAACTTTGTGCATCTCTCAACGCAGAAGTTCAGCAGCCATGTGGTTGAAAAATGCCTTATCGTATGCGACTATAAGGTCCAGTCGAAGATAATCCATGAACTGGTCTCTGCAACTCACTTTGAGCAGCTGCTTCAGGACCCACATGCCAATTATGTTGTTCAAACAGCTCTTCGAATTTCGGAGGTAATTATTGACCATCAATCTGCATTTTCTTTTTTTTTTTTTTCATTTTTATTATATATGCTAGCTATTGAATGCATTATTGTGCCGACACCATTCTGATGGGAATTCATGAATTGCATAAATAAAGATTCATTCAGGAGAGTTTCACTGTACTGACACAAACTTTTCCTTTGTATCTAACGCATATATACTAATAGAGTTTGGTTTTTTGATTGAGGTATTAAAAAAATCATGAATGATGGAGTTCATTTGACATCCTAATGTTTCAAACTCGTGACATGCACCAGGGTTGTCTACATAGTTCATTACTCGATGCAATCGAGTCCCATAAGGCAATCTCCCGTAACAGCCCCTATTCCAAGCGGATTTTCTCAAACAAACTGTGGAAGAAGTGAGATGTAAATGGTAAGAGAATTGAATTTGAAGGTGTTGATATGTTCTTAATTCATTGATCGAGCCTGCCATACAGGCCAGGCCAGGCCAGTTCTGCTATATATATATCCCCGCGAGAATTGAACGAACTTCTTCTTTACCTCATCAACATGTATGCATGCCAGCCAATAACTCCATCTGCAATTTTGCTCTCTAGCTGCAATATTTTATCTCACTTGGATTTTTTTCCCCAAGAATTGCCAAGTGTAAAAGACCAAGAAATCATGTTTCATGTTTCTTAATGTACAATGTATTATTAATTTGTTGTTATTATGGTCACCTTTGAGGATATTTCTTTTTCTGTGATCTTTATCTATATTTGATGAAAAGTCTTCTGTCTAATAGTGTAGTAGTTTAGTACATGGTATAGCTCGATACTATAAAAAATTTCACATTTGTTTAATGTCATTTGAGCTGGAGTTGTTTACGTTTTAGAATGACAGTCTAAACTATAAGTTAAGAAAAAATATTGTATAAAGTAATATATACTGCTATATATATATATATAACGAATATTAATTAAGTGTCACATCATAGAGACAAGACTTGTATATTTATAAGGGATGAGTAATTATGGCCATAACTATTCTCCCGGCCTTCAATCATATCAACGCATGACTTATTCAATAGATTCGGTCTAATCTTATTAAACTCCAAGTCCATTATTAAATCTTCTTGAGCCAACCTATACACCAAACCTAACACATTGGATCATCACTTCTTAATGAGCCAAAAAATGGTATTTGTGAACATATACAAATGAACTAATAACCAAGAATATCCACGGAACCTAACATTTAGAGAATATATCGAAGGAGCCGATATGTATATGCCAAGTTGCACTAGGTATGTGGGAGCATTTGTATATGATATAAAGTTATAAATTAAACCATACATCATAAACTAATTTGATCCACTCAAGTAGATAAAGTACAGCACCCCAATCACCAGCAACCACTTAAAAGCTGCAAGGCAGAGTGTTCAAAGAAAAAAACAAAACAACAACTAACAAGAGACAGCACACCAAAAAATATATAGAGAAATCCAAACCTGTGCCATATTTTCATGACAAATGCATCCAGGTTCAGTCATTTCAAGTCTGGCACCGAAAAGATATCTCCTTTTTTTTCAATGAGAAAATTCACAACTACTACTATAAAAATGTACCTGCATGGGCAGCTCAGTTGGTCACAGGGTGAAGTTTGGGAATAATGATCAGGGATGAGTCTCGGCAGTGTGGGAACAACCTCTCAAAGTAAGTGGTCTCCTTCTGCACAGTAAGCAAAGATCAAGCCTCTGTGTTCAACTGGGTCTCCTTGTGTACAGTAAGCAAGGATCTAGCATCGTGTTCAACTAAGTTACCATTGACTTACAAGAATCGAACTCGTGACATTCTGTTACGAGAATTTATCATATTTATTTTTGCAACATTTTTGTCATGAATAAGGTAAACGACAGGAGCCAAGGCATCTTCAATCAAGTTGTTATTTGATCTGACAGCTCTAGGCACGCCTGCTATATATATACAAACACTGTGCAGAGGTGTAGATGTTTTAAAACATGTGATTATCATTGATGAATGTAAAAGCTAAGCATGTGGTGATAAACGATGGATTATAAGTTTGAAGTTTGAAGTTTGAATGATCATCACGTACCCACCCACCCTATTCACAATGCCATGTGCTCTGCTAAGCTACCTATAACAAGTATTATCATTGTCAACCTTTTCAGCTGTTATATCTAATCTGCACTGTTCATCATATCCCAGACCCCTCTATATATACATATATCATCAGCTGCTATATAAATAACTATATACCCATATCATATATTAACTAAACTGCTATATATACACATACACCTGTAGCTAGGGTTATTATTACTTGCATCTATCTATCTGTCAGTTCAAGAAAGGAGAAGTGTTGCAGGGTGATAATATATATAGTGGAGATAATGGTGAAGAAGAGAGAGTGGTGGAGCAGAAAGAGAAGAACTACCCCAAAAGGGCATTTTGTGGTTTATGTGGGGGAAGAGATGAAGAGATTTGTGGTTCCAACGTTGTACTTGAAGGATGCTGGTTTCCAGAAACTGTTGGAGCAGGCTGCTGAAGAGTTTGGGTTTCATAGCCCCAAAGGGATTGTTTTGCCATGCCATGAATCTGTGTTTCTCACCATTCTTCTTCCTTTGCACCACAAAACAACCCTTTACACACAACCTAATTCATTTTTTTTTGTTTTTTGTTTTTTTTTTTTTCAATTATATTGATTAGGGAAACCTGTTGTCATTATCGGATTCTATAGAGTAAATCCCGTTCCTCCTATATATGCTATAACTAGTAAACCACACAGGAGGGGTCAGCTCAGTTCGATCAAGAAAGTGTTAGCAATAGTTAAATTCGTGATTTTTTGGTATGAAAATCATGTTTACAGCGACAAATTTCTTATTTTTATGTTGATTAATTGGATTGATGGTAGTTGCTGAATGCATAATAATTTCTTATTTTTATGTTGATTAATTGGATTGATGGTAGTTGCTGAATGCATAATCCATTGATTAGTATAAGTGCACATACATATAGTGATAGTGGGCATGTTAGAAAAAATGATGGGTTCCTCAATTTTTAATGAATTTTAGCAAAGTCAAATTGTAAAATATTAGCAAATTATTAAATAATAATCTTATTTTTAATTTTTAAATTAGCAAAGTCAAATTGTAATAAATTTTCTCCGTTTATAAAGGTGAACGTGATGTGTTTCTAATGGAATATTTGGAAAAAAAGACTTATACTATGCTCAATTGTTCATTAGAGCAACATTAACATCTTATTAATAAGTACGGAGTATATAAATAGTACTAAAATGACAACCCTTCAAATTATACTTACTAGCTATAAAAATATGTTCTCTTTTAGAAAATATATTTCATATTTGTTTCAGTTTGGGAAACCTTTTTTTAAAGAGTTTCCTAAAGGGAAATATTTTCCGGACACAAATATATTTTATGTGTCATAATTAGTCTTGTTTTAACTATAGTTTAACTAGTTGATTAATTTTTAAAAAGTTAATAATTTTATTGAGAAATTTATAAACTGTTGATGATTGCTAAAACACAGTTTACTATTTAATTTATTCTCCAAGAATATTCTAAGAGTCTTTAACACAAAAACAAAAATAGATAGTGACTCACAAAACCTTGTGCAGTCCTTTAATCATAGTTTAAAGGTAATTTATTATGGGTCGGTGTGCAATTTTAAAACACATTAAGTCACTAAGCTAATATTCAATAATTAAATTTGCAATCATCAAAGTTCACTGGTGTTAGAAGCAAAGTAAGTTTAATAATTGTCCGTATCAGACTTAACTCATTGAGTATTTAAAAAAAGAGATCAAAGTTTGAACTTCGATAGCGATATTATAGGAATTATATTTAAAGCAGGCAGATTTCTTGCGCGCACCAGCATTTGAGCCCACCTAGTAAGTCATTGAGTAATCATGATTTACATCATCCTAAATTCTCTGTCGGTTAGGTTATGGGGGCTCGTTGAGGATTCAACCTTTATGGAAAGAAGAAGAAATTTATTAATTAATTACAATTTCAAGAGTAATTAAGTGGGCGGAACATTACTTTTATACATAAAAATAATAAATTAGATTCTTTTAATATCATTTTAATTGAACTCGACATTTAAAATAGTCAATATAATGATTACGTATTTTTCTCATAACTCAAAAATAACAAAATAATGGAATGGAAACAGCTTTAAGCAAACTAAAACAGGTGGCACCCACTACAACTTCCAGCCGGTTTTCTCATTTTCCCAGGTTACCACAACTCTCAAAAACCGACACGTTCCGGTTCGGTGACAACGTGGACCAATAGCGTGGAAGAAACAGATCGTATCTCCACCGGCACTCTCATCCACTAATTCTGATACCCACCCCGGGGGAGAAACGCTGAGCCGCCTCAATTTTGATCCGAGTGACACGTGGCATCCATTACGTATTTTCTTAAAATATTGCTCAGAAAAAAATAATAAAAATAAAAAATTTCCAAAGCAAGCTCGCAGCAGCAAAGCTTCTCCCTTATCTTTTCTCTCCCTCCGCCTCTGGCTAGAACGTCCTAGATTTGTGGTTCCGAGCATCAAATTAGGGTTTCCTTGGTGGCGTGAAGTGTTTGTTATCGGTGAAGCGCGTGGCTTTCCGGCGAGGTTTCGGCTGTCCTTTGTTTCCGGTGAGATTTCGGCGAGATCTTGGTCAGTACTGTGGTTTAGTTGAAGGTATCCTTCTTCTTATGCCGTGGTCTAGCTGTTGTTAAATTCCAGATGATGTTTGCTCGTCTTGTGACTTTGATTGTTTTTTTTTTTTTTTTTTTTTTTTTTTTTGTGTCTAAAGTAATTCTAGTGTTTGATTTTTCATTTCTTTGGCAGTAATTTGTGTTGAAAGTTGTCAAATTTGTTTTTTTTTTTTTTTTTTGTAGTACGTTTTAAGTTTCTGGAGGGTGATTTCAATTGGTTGCTCTATATTTTTGGTTTAAAAGAAAAAAAGTTTTTTTTTTTTTTTTTTTGGTTGGATTGGGAATTGTTTTTAATTGATAGAACAGTTAAATGATTTTGCTTGATTAGTTCTAATACTTTTCGCTTGTTTGTTTTGGCGAACGGAGACAAAAGGAGGGCTTTGGTTCTGAAAAGGATGCTAGATTGGAGTTCTGCATATATTTTGACTGCTGGTTGAAGGAATTGAAAGATGTCAGATATATGTAGCTATGAGGTAGGGACTTGTTTTCCAACTGTGCTACAGTGCTAGTGAAACAAGACTAAGAATTAACTCATATTATGTTCGAATAGTGCTTTTGAATTGCTGTTGTGTGCAAGTCTTAGAACTTGGAATTCTTGTCTGTTTCTCATGCTCTTCAAACATCTCATTGGCCTGGCTTAAAAATTTTCATCATGTGAGGCAGATAGCAACTCCTTTTTTTCACTAACAAATAAGCACACTGTAGTATTGACTAGAGAGAACATTGGACACAATGAAATGGATTCAGTATGAAGGGGAACAAATTGTTATGAATTTTGCTTTCTTTTAAAGTCTTCTTGAGTTGAGCAAAACCTAGTGTGCTAAACAAGATCATTCATGATATTACCCTTTAGGGATTGCTAAACTTAATAATTACATACTGGAGATTCATTGAAACATGTCTAATTCCCATGCCACTAACTTTAGAAATGCGTAAGTGCAACAATGTTTTTTACTTTAAGAAATATAAACATGTCAACAGTTAGTATCATTTTACATTTATTTCCACCTATGAAAACCTTGGGAGATTTAAAATCATAATTGAATCGAGATGTTAGGGATTCTGCATTGCCTCCTACTAACTCATCATGTCTTTTTTTTTTTTATTGCTTTCTTTTCTTTATTTGGTAACAAAAGTAGCTGTACTAAATGCCAGCTAAACAATGCAATTTGTCTTAACTCTTAATTCATACCACATTTGACCATGTTAATATTTTTGAAGAACTGATAATATAAATAATAATACTCTGTAAAGAATTAGTGCAGCATCTTCTCCAAGCCTAACATATTTGTGGATGGTGTTTCTGAATGTTGCAAGTGTTCTGCGTGACTCATTCTCATTGGGTTTCGATAAAATAAATGGTTGTTCACTTGATGTGTTAAGTTTCAAATGATGTATTCAGAGAAATGAAAATGATAGCAGTTGCATTTTAAAAATAATAACCTCTTGACCAATCATTTGGAACTTGGCATCTCAATCACTTTTCAAGTAACTAACATGGAATTAATATTCATAAAAATTGGTCTATTAAAAACAGATACAATTAGGATTAAAGCATAATCTACAACGAAACATCAATTTATTGACATAAAGCAGATAACAGGACATTTACAACTTTTGGCTGTCCATGCTGGAGTTGCATTAATTCCATTATATTTCCCCTTTTTTTTTTTTTTTTTTTTTATAGCATATTTCACAAATTTCAGTTGGTTTAAAATTTAAATAAATATTTACACTTCTCTTGTTGAGTTGTAAAAACAGATACTCTTTTAGTCATGACTCATTTTCTTGTAGTATTGTCTGCAGTCCTACAGCTAAAATTCTGTAACTGGTGTTACAGCTTGAAGATATAGTTTGGCATGAAATTTGCCAAAGTGGTGACCATATAGTACCATATCCTAGTTCCGGATCAGCAGGTGAACATCAACTCCCAAGTGATAATCGTAAGAAACGACAACATGCAGTGTCTTTGAATGGATATGTTACTGGGCCAAAGGAGCAAGAAGGATTTTCATCTCTGAATAACAGTAGGTTGACAATGTTGGAAAAAGGATCGTGGTCTGACACACCTAGTGCATTTCCTACTTCACATGATAACCACACAGTCAACAAAGTTTCAAATTTATCATCTGAAAATACCAGGACATCTAGTCATTGCTTTAAAAGCAACAACATGGACTCAATTGGAAGTGAGTTTTGTACTAATGATCCCATTCTCGATGACCAGAATGTTGGAGTAGATGGCAACTCTTATAGCTACCCACTTGGTCAGATTTCTCAGACAGAGAATGACCTTAGTTTCCTTGATGATAATAATGAAGAAAAAAATTCTAGTGATCTCTTAGATTATGGTTGGCCTGAAATAGGGAACTTTGAGGATGTCGACAGGATGTTTAGGTAACCTTCTTTTTGAAGCGAGATTCTTTTCATTGTATTCTAATGCAACTTATTTTGGTTTCAAGTGAGTTAACTTGTTACTGGTATTATCTTGCAGAAGCTGTGATTCCACATTTGGACTTGGGACCAGTAATGCCGATGAGTTAGGTTGGTTTTCTGCTTCAGATGTTATTGAAGGTTCTGAGGATGCATCAAGCTCAGATTTTATGTTCTCATGCCCTGCACCCAATGGACTAGAAAATATTTTAGTGCGTGAGGATGCTGCAGGGCTAAATGATGCAAGTGGATCAATCAATAATTCAGGCATGAGAAGTCAATCTGACAGGGGAAATTTGTGGGACTTAGAAAAAGATGAATGTGCCACTCTCAATCATCTGTCTTTTGTAGACGGTTCTCGTAGTTCTGATTACAAAGATGGATCAATGCCTGAAAGGCAGGTGAGTAATTTTTTCTTTTCTAATTTCATGCATGCATTATTGTGGTAAAGGTAATGTGATAGATTTACTTGTCTAAAATAAAACAATGTTGTGACTTGTGAGATCGATTTACATCTATGTGACTTTTAGATTGAATATCTAATGAGTATATTTTCTTGTGGCAACATTAGGCTGCTAGTTTGCTATTTGAACTTTATGCTTATTCATCTGATGAACTACTGGCCTACTGCAATTTTCTTATTTCAGTGATCCTTACTTCTGTAGTAATGTTAATGTAGTTATCCTCTGGACCTCTACAGACTAATACGCATAAGAAGCAGTTAAAGCACAAGAACCGTTCCGAAGGAAAAAGGAAAGGCATATACTTGGAAAATGGTGCTTCATTTCCTTTTAATGGTAACCTGCCTGAGGATGCAAAACAATCTACTGGGGCAAACTCTTCTCAATCAACTTTCACATCCATGGGCATTCAACAGCATAATCACTGTGGATCTGATTCTTTTGCCTACTTGCAAAGCAGCTTCCCTTACATGCACACAGAGTACAATCATCCTTCTGATCAGAGTTCAGTACGTGCAACCATACCTTCTGTCAAGTCCGAAAATAATGCTTTGAAGTCTCTTTCCCCCAAGGGTTCCTATGTGCCAAATCAACTACCATCCATCCAGAGCTCTCTTGATATTTCTTTTCAGGTGGGCACCGCTATGCCAAATGAAAAAAAGTTAGAGAAGCAGCTCCCTTCAGGGTTCAAATCTGAAAATCACAGTGATATGAATGGGATCAACATGAAAGATCCTATGCAATTAGATTCTTCAATACTACTGGAAAGCTCTTCCATCAGTTCAGGAATGGATGAAGTTTCAGAAGAAGCTGTTTGTTTTAACCAGCTTCAAAATGTCATGGAACAGGTGTGTTAAGTATCTTTGAAAACTTCCTAAATTCGTGCTTCAGCTTGATTGGTTACGGACTTGTTCAGCAGATGTCAAAAAAGAATCAAATGCTCAACAAAAACAATGGGTTTTGTACATTTAATTAATTTGGTTTTTGTGTTGCTCAATGAAAATCATGAAATTGAAACAATTTGACATCCAAACTATAGTATAAAAAAGGATTAAATGAATGGAAAAACTATGTTATACACGTATGCCTTGCATCAAACTGATCTTTTAAGGTATTCTCTTGTTTAGCTTGATCTGAAGACAAAGCTATGCATAAGGGACAGTCTGTACCGGTTGGCTCGAAGTGCTGAACATAGGCATAGAAATGCTAACTTTAATGGTGGCAGTGGAGATAACAGAGATGCAAGTGGGGCATTGGTAGCTCATGGAACAGACAGGTACAGAATGTTTTCCTTTATTGTTGGATTGTATTTGTCACCATTAATTTCCAAGTTCATAGTAGATACTCTCTCTATTCCTTTGTATCTTTCATGTTTACTATTTAAAAGTCAAACTGATTCTTCTTTATTTGTTTCTTTGATAAATTTAGCCTTTTGTGTTTAATATAATTTTTATTCACTACCAATAAATTTATTAACATTTCTTCTCCTGTGTCCCATGCGGTGCCACCAGTTAAGAATAAGTGATTTATTGTTGTAACTTGTGCTAGGGTCAGCTTTTCATGGAAAGCTAATAATAACACTCAAATCTAAATAGTATGTTATAAATAATTATTTAATTAGTGCATACTTCTGACACTGTTAAAGAGTAATTAGTACATTAAATGAGGAACTTATCTATTTTTTGCTGAGCAAATGGTTGAAAACCCAATTAAAAATACAAGTAATAGAAATTTGAATTGTAGATAGGTTGAGTCAAACTCTCATGACACATAAAATGACAAGAAAGGTGCACTGTATTCCTCGCTAATTTTATGACACTAAATTGCATTCATTTTGAATTTTCGGTTATATATGCATGAACACGGACATGAATATGAACAAATTAAGATTTACTGTTTTCTTTATGATTTAAGGTGGTGTGTTATATGTAATTATGGATTCTAATTGTCACCTCTTTGCAGGTGTACTGGATATATGGACATGGAAACGGACACGAACCCTATAGATCGATCCATAGCGCACTTACTATTTCATCAGCCCTCAGACTCACCTGTGGTAAGGATTCACAGTCTCTTCATAATTCCAGATTTTTCCGTGTTTGATAATTCCAGACATCTGTTACAATCTTACCTTATCTTGTAAGGAGTCAATGAACAGATTCAGGGGTCAATCACAAGCATGCCTGTGATTGCTACTGAGAAGGTTGGTCATGGAGATGCTGCTGTTGAAGAAGATAAGAAGGCTGGCTACGAGTGACAGGTACATAGTTAAGAAAGCTCAACCGAAGACAACAATGCTTACATTTTACTACTTTAAATGGCCGACAGATACATATTTAAGAAAGCAAGATGTCTGTATTTGACTACTTTGGTTGGTCATGAATAGAATTACTTACTGCTGGGGAATCCTGTAAAAACCCTCAGTGACTAGGCTTTGTTCTTGGATGTGTTTCTCACAGCTTTGGCTTTTTATGTATAATCTTGTTTATGAGTTTATGTTGTAGCCCCAGAGTTTTATTGACAACTGACTATACATCATATATCAATGCAAGGTTCAGGGAAGGCATTGTTCATATTGTTTTGTAAACAGAAAAAATTTACATTTTCATTTTGATGAAAATAAATATGCAAAACACCAACTAATGACATCAGTAGTTTTTGTCTTTAGTTTGGGTTAGTAGTTAGTAGTTTACTCCGTAACATTTTTACTATCTTTGTACTTAGAGCATCTACACCAGTGGTGAATGAGGGGTTAATGTCAGACCATTAAACTTGGGAGGGGATAATAACAAATGTGGGGTAGGGTTATTTGGAGAGATATTTGTCCTGCAAGTGAAGAGAGATTTCAGAAGTGGTGGGACCCACCACAAAAAGTCAAAATTTTCACCACTGGCGTGGCTGTCACCATAGCGCATAGCGGGCGCGTGCACTAGGCGCGCCTGACAGTTACAGTTTTTTTTATTTTTTATTTTTAATTTCATTTTCCTTTTTTTTTTTCCTTTTTTCCCCTCCCCTCCCATCTTCTATTTCCTAATCACTCTTACATTATCCCCCAATTCTCCCCAACTAATGTGGATGCTCTTATCGTGTATGAAATGAGGGATTTATCTCAATAATTGTCAATATAGATTATAGATCATATTGTTATGCAATGGACTTATCAACTCTCTTACATTACAAAATTTTTAGTTTTTCATTTTTTTTTTAATTTTTTCAAGTTAGAAATGTTTTTCTCTCTTTTTTTTTTTTTTTTTTTTTTTTTTTTTTTTTTTTCGTTTTTCAGAAAATGAATTTCTTTTTAGTTAGCATATAACGGTTACAAACAAATTAGCCAATAAAGAAAGGATCAAAGAAAAATGCAACCTTGAATTTGTTATTGAAAATTAAACAACATGAAACTTACTTAACAATATATAGGAATATATGTCTCATGCATGCATACATGCGGATTATGAGAAAATTAAACCAATAACAACGTAACATTAATAATGATGATTAATGATGATAAAAGAAGAATCCATAAATTAGCTAGCTAATCATCGTGATTAATGTTAACTTATGGATTCTTCTTCTATCATAATTAATCAGTATAAATCAAGGCCTCGTACTTATCGTGATGGAGTTTGAGAATTATCAGTCAGTGATAGATCCTCCTCATCTTCTGTCTCACTAACCCTAATCATCTCAACTTCCCGCACCACATCACTCATCTCTGGTCGCTTTTCTGGCGACTTATCGCAGCATTTGATGGCTATTTGGAGCAGCCTCAGCATTCCCTCGCTCGCGCTCCTCTGCACCGCGATTTCCGCGTCGAAGATCTCCGCCGTCCACTCCTCCCTCACGGCGCGGTGAACCCAGCTGCAGAGGTCAGCGCCGTTGACTCCCGCCGGCGCCGATTGCGACGAAACTTTCCCCGTCAATAGCTCGAGAAGCAAGCACCCATAGCTCCACACGTCCGACTTCGCACACACTTTTTTGTAGGTCTGGAACTCCGGGGACCGGTATGAAACCATACGCTGAGCCGTGATCGGCGGGGCGATGAGAGAAGCTAGGCCGTAATCGGTTAAAAGCACGATGTCGCTCTCGTCCAAGAGAACGTTGGTTGATTTAAGGTTTCCGTGCGGAGGAATGCCGCCGCCGCCGACGGTTAGTGGAGTGGAATGGAGGTGCAGATACTCCACTGCTCGTGCCACCGCACGTGCAACCGACAATCTTGCATTCCATCGAAATGGATTGCGTTCTCTCGTCCCTCTTGCTCCTATATATATGCCAAAAATAAAACCCTTTATTTTTGTGATAGAATAAGAATATATATCTATTCTTGTTTTAACACTCTTATAGTACAAGTAGCAACACTCGATAGTTGATTATACACCCGTCTTTGGATTTTAAATTCGTGACATTTCTACATATAGTAGTCTTCAACTATCATTTTTTTTAGAATTTTTCAGCCAAACACACATTGTGTACATGTTGGTTTCAAGTGATATCTGGTCAGGGAGAGATAGAAGAGACTTACTATGAATACGGGTGTACAAGTTACCATTTGGAGCAAATTTGTAGAGCAAGAGCTTCTCATCTTTGGCATAGTAATAGCCAAGAAGAGGCAACAAGTTAGGGTGCTTGTTCTGGGCAATGGACTTAACATGCGCCACAAACTCCTCTCTGCTCAGAGCTCTCAAATCCCTCAGCCGTTTGACCACAACAGTCGGCCCTTCTTCTAGCATGGCTTTGTAGCAATTCCCAAAGTTCCCTTTTCCCAGACCTTCAGCCGAGGCTTTAAGCAGATCATCAAGCTCTATCCTCAAATCAGAGTCCAAAAATGTCAGCTTTCCTCTCTCTCCTGCAGCTGCAGCTTCTCCTCCGTTGGATCTCTCAGTTGATTCTGTAGACATTGTTGTTTCAGTGGTGCTGATGATGGGTTCTCTCACTGCAATCTTCCTCTCCCCGCTTTGATCCACCCCGTTTTGGCTATGGTTAAGATTGCTGTTTTGGGTGAAATTGTTGTTGTTGTTCTTCTTCTTCTGCTGCTGCTTCTTCTTTATCATCATCAAGTCTGCTTCCAGATTCCTGGTTTTCTTGTAGTAATAGATGGAAAGAAACAGGAGAACAACAAGGACGATAACCGTGGCTATAATCAGGAGAGGAAGAGTCATCTTAGCCGGCTTTTCAGGGTTATCGCCACCGTCTTTTGGCTGGCCGGAGGTTGTGTCATTTGCTACATGTGAGAAAATCTCCAGTCTTTTGATGATTTGGAGTTTCCCAGAAAGATTCTTGCCGGAAACAATGGGTTCCTTGAGACCCAAAACTGCATCTCTGTCATTTTCAGCCATGCAGCATTTTTGCAGAACAAGAAGAAAAAGAAGAAGAAGAAGAAACAATTTCAAGAATTTCCACATATTAATTTGACACTCTTAATGCTTCTTCAAATACATAACAGTTGTTTATAAGCTTTGGAGCATCCCTTTACAGCTATATGTTTCATTGTTTTGAAGAAGAATACGAGGATGATTCTCATATATAGATTTTATCAGCTGGGAATCCTAGGAAAACAGTTCATTGGTTTATACATATATCGACCAAATTAACTCCCATAAAAAAATGACAAAAACGAGACAACATAAATGTTTCAGGTAGGTCTGCAATGCAGAGCAAAAACAATGCGGAATTTCTATACAAGAACAATGATTACAGGCTTGTGCTTAATGTACAAGGCTCGAAACAAGTTTTCAGACTATTACAATTAATCCGGTCCAGTAGTGAGCTATTACACAAAAGTGGAGTTTACCCAATACAGGTAGTGAGCTATTACAAAAGAGTAGGTTTACCCCGTGCCAGTATAGTGGTTGCGAGTTTCCCACTTTAAAAAAGAAAAAGGTAGGCTCGAAACTTCTTGCAAACATTGCACAATAAACAACATTACTAAGAGATTGAACCAACATGTAATATATCTTGTCAGCAGCTATATAAAAGATGTGAGCAGATAGAGATTGAGAACATGGAGAACAATATCAAGGGGGAAAGAGATAGGCAATCTCCAGTGAACACTAACAAAAATTACCATAACCCTTTGTATTCAACATCGTAGAAGAGGAAAAGTGAGCAAATAGCAGCTGTCAACAGTTCTTGAGAATTGAACTGTAAAGTGTTTATATCAAATTCAAAATCCATGCAGGACATTACAAAAAAAGGAAACGATAAACTGCCAATCACACAGAACTTACCAGACAAATTGAGTACATGAAACAATGCCCAAGATTCATCATTCAAACTAGCAGTGGTACTCATCAAGACTCAAGAGTTGAGTAATAGATACGCAAGATGCAACCAAGAAGTTTGTAAGACATACTTAAAAACTATGATTAGTTTATGGAATCTTTTAAACACAAAGGCTGCTGTCTTCTAACTCAAATACTTGACAAATTCATCAAAAGCCAAAGCCACAACTAAAGTAACTTGGGAGTACGTTATCATGAGAGATAACATACTCCAAGTTACTTTAGTTGTGGGTGGCTTTGGCTTTTGATGACTTTAATTTGTCAAAATCCTTTAAGAGTTGGCACCTTTTTTAGTTGATTTTCAGAAAGAACCTTGAACTTAACTCTGAAATAGGGAATAAAAAAGCAAGGTTGTTTCAAGAAAGTTGATGGATCAATTTTGTATTTCACTGTGGACCAAAAAACAAAGAGGAAATACTCTGAAACGAAGTCTCTAATTCAAACAATTAAAATACAAATTCTATACACAAGTTATGAGCTTTCATAAAATAAAAATAAAAAAACTGCATTTGGCATTTCAAACACCACAAGACATCAAGTGCAAACAGGCACAACACAAAAACAAGATCCTCAACACTTTCAGGAGGTAACTGGATCTGGTGGGTAACAATTAAGGAGTACTACAAAGTTACACAAAAAAGCTAGTGATGTCTCTTAACAATCTCAAGGGTGTAGATCAGACAATGATAGGAATTAATAATTGAATTCAGCATTCAGAATCCTAACAATGTTGCAAATTTCACACAGAAGAAAGGACACCTGTACAAGGGTTTGAAGATGGAAATATTATACACAAGAAAACCAGGTTCAGCATCCTTTACCTGCCTTCAAGAGAATGAATGAATGAAGTTAGAAAATTCCCCAAGGTGAACAGTTCAATGCAGGTGTTCTCAGGAAACTATAGAAAAACTTACACCGGCAAAACCTGTCATACCCACACACCAAGCACACCAATGAACACCAGTGACAAAGCAAACTGATAGGCACTTCTACATTGTAATTCGTTTGAGGAGTCCAACATATAAATACATGAATAGCTTACTCTAAGTCTTTAATGAATCTAGCCTACACAAACCAACATTTAATCCCACATTCAAAACCGTAAAAACAAATTAAATCCTCACATTATCGATATTCATTTTGAAACCAGAAGAATCTCGGGCTTTTTCGCTTTACTGGGTGTGTTAACATTTGATGTAGCATTTGTTGCAGCAGCCACCTTGGCAGCCTCTCGAGCTCTCCTATCTAGCTGAACCAAACTTCTGGTTGCCAAAATCGCCTGTGGAACCAAGTCATGTTGAGCCCTGGCATACAGACGCTTCACCGCAACTGATGCTGCATTCTTCACATCTTCTGCATTCAAAGGACCCAACAAACAATGCCCTATGATTCTCAGCACAGGCTGCAATAACTCCCAAGGCAGTGGAATTCTCACCCCTTTGGGCTTAGAATCCTCTGAGCTCTCTTCAATCTCCAATTTGCTCAATTCTTCTGAAACATCCTCAATCTCAATAGCCCTAGAATTATCCGAAAAACCGTTACTAAAATTTTCTGATCTCTCATAATTTTCATCCAACTCCGATACACAAGGGCAGTCCTGGCCAGCCCAATCCGCCGCGAATCTACAGAAGTCAACCTTGGACCAACTAGGCATTTGGGAGATCTGTTTGTAGTAACACTCCAGAGCAACGCCAACAATTGAGGCCCGTTTCGTTGACTTCACGGCGATCTGGGGCTCGAGAGGAGGCGATAAAACTCCCACAGACGGGCGAGACTGATTGACCGAAGAACCAGCGGTCGGTTTACTTGGAATTGGAGTTCTCGGAGTGTGATAAAGAGACGGCTGAGATAGATCGGGTATCGAAATGAGAATCGGCTTCCCGCCTCTGGCTTTAGTTTCGGCAGAGTAGAGAGCGAGAAGAACAGCTTCGAAACCCGAGAGAGACGGTGTGGAGGTGGAGGAAGACGAGTGGATGCGGGAGAGGTAGAGGGAGCAGAGGAGAGGAATGAACGAGAGGACAACCAGGCGGAGATCGGTATCGCCGCAGAGGAAAGTATCGTACAGCCAGTGGCACAAGGGATCTTCGCCGGAGCCGGCAGACGGCACCGAGAGGGAAGTAGAGACAGCGTAGTAAGCCGGTTGGGAGAGAAGCAGAGAGCGAGCGGGGCGATCGGAGTCGGCGAGGACAGTGAGCGGCGCGACAGCGGCGCAGTCGTCGAAGGGGAGAATATTAGAGAGAAGGTGGATGCGAGAACGAGCTTTGGATATGGACTCCCACCATGAGTGCATTGGATCGCTGCTATTGTTGCGGGAACTGTCGGCGCCGCCATTCTGGTGGTGGTGGTGAGAAGTGGAGGAGTTGTGAGGGTCAGTAGATGAGGTGGAGGAGGAGGAAGGAGAGCCGCCGGAGATGCGGAAATCCATGGCAGCGGTGGATCGGAAAAATAGGGGCGCAACTGTCGGAACAATCTTCTACGCACTATATTTCAGTATTGGCTTTTTTGCCAAATTCTGCATATTTCAGTATTACACCGCTCAAGTTTAGATAATTTCAAATCTACCCCATAAATCTTCAAAGTTTAAATTACACACATGATATTCTTTAATTAAATCCATTTTTAAGACTTGAAACAGTGATAATGATCTTCGTTTAATCTCTAAAATATCTAATATAATCTAAATCTGATCTGCCCAATTTTGTTGCGGATCAAGCACCCGACTTATAGAGTTAATAAAATAGTCTAACTGTCTTAATAACGCGTTTGGTTGGAGGGATTTTAAATTCTCTTCCCACTTAATTTCCACCTAATTTCAAAGGCCATTAAATTCCGTAGTTTGGTTAGAGGGAATTGCAATTCCCCCATTTTCATGAAATTAAAATCTCATGTCCCCCCCTAGTATTTTAATTCCTGGGAAAAAAAGATAGTGATGAGTCAAAATTATCCCTTTTTTTTTAACCTAAAATTAATGTCTAACAACAATAATGGACATTTTTGACTTTATACTACTTATTCCCTTTCAATTCCCATGTATACCAAACATTAGAATTGAAATTCCTAGTAATTCTATTCCTGTCAACCAAACACTGGAATTTAAATTCCCACTTTATTCCCAGTAATTCAACTCCCATGGAATTACAATTCTTTTCCCACATAATTCCCCCCTCCAACCAAACGCCCTGTAAAGAGTAAACACAATAAAACTAGTTCAAGAGTCTTATACCTTAGTAATTCAATCATTATTCCGTAGACCGTAATCTACACAGTTCTGTAAAACATGATATAAAAATATATAAAATACATTATTCTAATTTATAAAAGACATCATCTTACCCCATATATTAGTATACTATACTATTAGTTTTCAATATATATATATATATATATATATATATATATATATATATATATATATATATATATATTTTATTTATTTTTTTTTTCTAACATATAAAGTACATCATTCTAACTCATAAAATACATTATCTTACCACATAATGTTCATTCTTTTAACATGCGTGCAGAACAAAGATTTTTTTTTTTAAATCTAAACGACGTTGTTTTGGACCGTGGTCTATAATCCACACAATAATTACAACTATACTCTCATTATTATTAAAGTAAAATAATAATTATTTTAACTTATAAAAGACATCATCTTACCCCATATATTAGTATGTTGGAAAAAATAGCTAAAAATGGCATAAAATGGCATGTTAAGTGGCTATTTTGTGGTACAATTATCAGTGGGGTCCACTTCCGATTTGGGTCGGGTTAAAGTGGATTCGGATTCTTCGTAGTGAGACGAAGAGATCGATATATTGTACGCTCAAAACAGATAATGGGTGAATGAGATATTGATTCTCAAAGTAGACCCATTTGAGTTGGAAAATGAAGGGAAAAAGTGTGCTTTTTTCCCACATTGCTTTGGAATGAAGATTTCCCCCCCTTATATACAAGAGCTCTTTTGAAGCTTGTAGAATTGTATAGCATAGAGGCTCTCTCGTGCGGGGGGGGGGGGGGGGGGGGGGGGTGCAAATCAAATTCCAACTAGCAGAGATTGGAAAAGGCTTGATTCAAGCCCGAGCTCGGCTGGTGTGCGCCGGCACCAAAGTTAGTTCTAACTGTTGGGGGGCTGTTACGGGATTAATTCCCAGGTAGTGGTCTGCTGTTATATCTGTTGGAAGGCAGCTTTAATGTCATTTTTAATTGCCATAATAAAGGCTATTGGCTTCATCTTTTAGCCTCAAAACCTCTCTGCTTCTACTCTTTCTTTAAGCCATACTGTGTTCATAGCCATTGTCTTGCTCGCCGGATCCTTTGTTTGAATGCTCAAACATTGGATCATAGCAAGTTTTATCCTAGGAAGCCTAGGCCACAACGCTCCTAGCATCTACGGGAGGTGGCAAATAAGGTTTTAAGGAAAGAGTGCACACTTGACTCTTGCAAAAACCCAACACCAAACACTAGCCAATTTTCTTCAAAATTTTCTTCCCTTCTTTCCAGAAAATAATAGTCAATTTTTATTTGATTATTATTTGTTTTCTACCAACGGTTCCTACATAGTATACTATACTATTAGTTTATATATATATATATATATATATATATATATATATATATATATATATATATATATATATATATATTTTTTTCTAACATATAAAGTACATCATTCTAACTCATAAAATACATTATCTTACCACATAATGTTTATTATTTTAACATACGTGCAGAACAGAGATTTTTTTAAATCTAAACGACGTTGTTTTGAACCGTGGTCTATAATTCACACAATAATTACAACTATACTCTCATTGTTATTAAAGTAAAAAAATTGTCCCCTTTCAAATTTCAAAGTTGAGATATACTACATTTTCTCGTCATATACCGGTATAACTTTTTTTTTTTTTTTCATTTATAAAAAGGGATGCCTTCACTGAAGCTCAAACCTATCACCTCCCACATAAAGGAGCAACGTGGTACTATTGGACTACAAGGTCCTTGGTATATATTGTTATAACTTTGTTACTATTTAATTTTAACATGGATGACTTCGTCATTATTACCATATATTTTTCTATTAGTCAATTATTATTTTATTAAAATTATTATATAATTAATTTAATTGTCGTTTATATTTAAATGTGTTTGATAAATTATATGTATATCATTACATGTAAAATGGCATATAAATACATAAATATATTTTGCTACTCCGTATTTACAACTCTTGAAGTGCATTTACCATTTATTATTGTTGATTGTTGTTATTAATTATTTTTAACTATTTTGTTTGTTTGTTTTTTTTTTAGTAATAATGTTATAATTGTAATGAAATACTTTGCATCAATAATAAATCAATATTCAAATTACTAGAATAGCAATTTGGTTTTTTTTTTTTTTAATAAAGAAAGTACATAAAAGTTGCCTCATGGACAATCTCTTTTTGTACTTTACAAGCTTGCATGACACATGAGCAACAATCAGTGACAGATTCAAAAAATTATCTTAGTGGGGCGAATATTAAATGACGTTAGAAATGTCAATGACAAAATATCAAACAACTATAATAAGGTTAAAATACAAAATACCTTATAAATTATAAATTATAATATATTTATGAAAAAATATGAAACATAATAAATTAGATAAAATAATTTGAATAATAATATATTTATAAATACTTTTAAATTTTAATTTCTTTTAGTTATTAGATCAATTTTTTAAAATTAATTCGAATACAATAAAGTATATTATAAACTTGTATACTACATTAATTAAAGGAATATAGTTCAAATTAGTATTTCAGGAATAATGTAGATGCAATTGACCATTTCGCCCCTAGCACTGTTCTGCTGGGCAGTGGGCACGAAGTCATGAATGATGTTTTGATATCTCCGCCCTCCCCTCAGCAGCGAACAAATCGTCACCTACTTTAACCTCGCAACTCTCGCCCCCACCTTACATTAACGCCCGCAGGCCGTACCTCTCTTTCTTTACCAGTCTGCGTTCAATCTCTTCACCCCATTCAAAGACGCAGCTTTGAGAGCTATCAGAAATGGCGTCTACTGCTCTCTCACAGTCTTTTTTCTCCACTCTCACTCCCCACTCTGCCGCTTCTCACAAGACCCTCGACAATGCTTCTTCCCTCTCGTTGAATCGCTCGCTGCCCTTCAAATCTCACCCCTTGTCGACCCAATGCGATAAAACCCGGCCTAGTTTCGTCACCAAATGTACTGCAAATGAATCGGCCACCAAAACCCCCGAGACCCCTATTGAATTGAGTATGCATTCTTTACGGTCTTAATTTCTGCTAAAGTTTCGAGCTTTACTGTGGTTTTGTTGAAATTTGCTCTCTTGTTGTGTGTTTTTAGGTTACCCTTCATTTCCGTCTGTGGTGGATATCAATCAGATTATGGATATTCTACCTCACCGGTAACTGTTTTCAGTCATTTTGATCTTTCTTTGCAAATAGATTTGGTTACTGATTTGGGTTGTCCGTTTTGCAGTTATCCATTTTTGCTGGTGGATAGAGTGATTGAGTACAATCCGGGAGTTTCAGCGGTTGGAATCAAGAATGTTACTATTAACGACCAGTTCTTCAACGGACACTTTCCGGGGAGGCCAATCATGCCTGGTGTTCTCATGATTGAGGTATATAATTCATGTTCTTCTTTATATCATAGTCTGATGGTTTTCAGATGTGACTGAAAATGCTTTATAGGTTTATTAGAAACCATATTGCCTCCAGATTTAATACCCTCTGGTTCAAAATGAGAATATCTATTGCTGGTTTGGGCAAATTCGACAAGTTAATTACTTCAATCAAATGTTTTACTATAGGCAAAATGATATTTTTTTAATGGGAATTCACAAGCCTGAAAGTGGAGGTTATGTGGGGATTTTATTGCTGTAAGATCCAAGAGGAAAGTACATGGAGGAGGGTTCATACACTCATACCATCTTACCTATTTATTCCATACCGCCTTACAAACATAGGGTAGCCTATCATTATGAGGTAGTAAAGCTTTGCAATTGAGGATTTTTCTCTCAAGAAAAGATGAGTAGAGCAGTGCTGGATTTCCAAATAATGATTAAAGATTCGATGTAACTTTCTTTTTGAATATTTATTAGTTTTGCTATGAAGATAAAGATTTGTTGTGGTTTTCCTGAGAAGCATGCCTTTCAAGTTCCAAGATAGAGGATATAGCTGAATTCTACATATTTATGTGTTTGAATGTTTGATACTCTACTTTCAGCTGCAAGGACGGAGATCTGATGATTAATGTCTTGATAGCTTTGTTCTGTGGACGTTAGTAATTCTTTGCCATTCTCAGCTTGCACCCATACTTTTTTTGGTTGCATAGTTGGGTTCTTCTGGTCAGATTTATACCTTTTATTATCCTAAGAAAACAACTTGATTTGATAGTATCGTGGAAAAAGAACCTTGGTGGCAGAACTAGAAATTAGAGAACAGATGATTCTTATATTATGTCAGATTCAGGATCGTGTTCAAATTACTGGAGTGAAGAAGTGCATTATCTATTCATATTGGGAATTTTTGCATTTAAATTGTTTTGCTCCATTGTTCATTGGCTGAAATATGCTCTTCCAATATGCCAAACAAGATATACTTGGTTTGTACTAGTGCCAACTTAATTTTGTTGTAAAAGTTAGATTGTTTGAGGCCTCGAGCTTTGATTCTTTCTCCCCTTGTGTCAAAGGACTTCTTCAGTTATATTATCGCAAATTTGGACTATGCTGTCCTTTTCTTATGATTGTGGTCTTGTTTTAAGATGAACATTGAGTACAGCCGGTGTATGTTGTTTGTTTTAATGTCGCGGGTTCAAAAATGTTTTAACTTTCACGCTGGGCCAATTAGTCTCATTGGATTGGATTCTGGTTTTTGTAGGCACTGGCCCAAGTTGGCGGGATAGTCATGCTGCAACCCGAAGTAGGAGGCTCCCGTAGCAACTTCTTCTTTGCTGGAATCGACAAAGTAAGATTCAGGAAGCCGGTGGTGGCGGGAGATACTTTGGTGATGAGAATGACGCTCACCAAGCTGCAAAAACGCTTTGGAATAGCGAAGATGGAAGGAAAAGCCTATGTGGGAGGTGACTTGGTTTGCGAGGGTGAGTTTTTGATGGCCACAGGCAGCGAGTAGAAGGGCGCGAAGCACTCGAGTCCCCACCCACCCCCTCCCCCCTCCCTTTGATGTTTGATCAGAAAATTGCTGAACTTGTTTGTTTGGATAATGCCTGCAATGGCTTCCAATTATCCCCTCTTCACCACCAGTTTTCTCATTGAGGACAGTGTCTCTTAGGACAAGCTAATTGCTCATCTTTTGTTAGAGAATGTTGTATGATGATTTGAATATTTATTTGGTCTTCTTGCTCCAACTATCTGCCAAAGTCTTTTTGTTTTTGTCTCAATATATTAAGTTGTCATTATATGAATGGAAAATTGGAGAAATAAAAAAAAAAAAATCCAATTTGAACATGAATAAAGGGATTTGAGTAGATCTGAATTCGCAATTTTTCTCATCATCCCACCTTAAAAAGGAAAATTCAAGTAAATAGTGTTTCTAATAAAAATAAAATGTAAAATTGCAGTAAACACAATGGTGTTAAATTCGTAAATACTTTCTTCACATATTGAAATGTCACTGTTCTCATTCGGATTCAAACCAACCTGGATCTTTGACATTCGTTTTTGATTTGATAAATCTTCTTAATTTGAACCGTTTATCACTGACTTACTAGTAATTAGAGTGTATCTATAGCTGTAAGTTTTCCCATAAATCAAAGAATCCTTGATTGGGATGATATTTTTGTTTGTTTGTTTTGTTTTATCAAGAATGTAATATGGGCATGGCCCTATGCCCATGTCCATGTCAGCAATCTTACCGGGGTAATTTGATCCACGTGGCATGACGATTTGTCCCCTTCGCGGGAAATCTCCAAGCCTAACGATCATCTGCTGCACTGCATCCACAAACCCAATTCATGAAGATTTGTCTCGAGAGTATCAATGCATTTTGAAGAACAATATCAGCTGTGCAAGCAGACTACACCCGATGGCTGATCTTCTTTCCAATTCCATACCCAAATTCCCACTCTTTAATCCCGCCTATACTCCTCCCAAGCTCCTTCACCCATTTTCAGCTCTTTCAAGAACCTCCATAGCTGGAAGATGGAGCAGAAGAAGAAGAAGAAAGCCGCCTCAAATCATATTCTTCTGCAAACCCAGTTCCCAAGATCTTGCAGTCATTTCAACCCACGGTACATTTCTTTATCCCTTCCCTTTTTTTCAATTTAACAAGTATAATTCAGGGCAAAGTTTTAATTTTTTTCCTTATTTAGTATGTTTTTAAAAAATTTAAGGTATTTGTTATTGTTGTGGCAGAACATGGTGATGGTAGTCTGATATTCCGGTTTGGGGATCCAAGTGAGCTTGCAAAAGAGGAGGAATCCAAGCCTGAGAAGGTGGGGAGTGAAGATGTGGAGGAATTTAGTGTGGTGAAAGTGTTGGATGGAGATTGTGAGAGAGAAGTGATTGTTAAGAATGTCGAGAGAAAAGTTAGGGCTGATGCCACTGTTACTAAGATTTCTGATTCAGTAGTAATTAGGAGTGAAGGCAGCAGTCTTTTGGAAAGAGGCATTGAATCAGTAGATGAGCAGTTGTTGGAAATTTCTGATGATTGTTTCGCATCTTCGGTTCACCAGACAGGATTGCTCGATGAGATTGTAGTAGAGAAGGATGGGGGCCGAGTTTCAATCGAATTGATAGATACTATGGAAGTTCAGGCAGAACAAAGTGATAGAGAATTGAGTGAGAAATCTGCCTCTGAGGTTTGTACAACGAATGTCGTGGATCTTGAGAAGAAGGATTGGGGCGAAGCTTCAATCCCATTGACAGATAATGTGGAAGCTCAGGCGGAAGAATTTGATACAGGGTCAAGTGGGGAATCGGTCTCTAAGGTTAGTACGGAGAACGTTGTAGCTCTAGAGAACGATGGGGGCAAAGAATCAATTCCATTGATAGATAATGTGGAAGTACAGGCAGAACAAGGTGATAGGGAATCGAGCGAGAAGTTATTAGAAGATTCAGTGGCAGAAGTGCAGGATTCTTCTGGCTCTGAGATCACCGAGGAAAATGCTATACCTAAGGATGGGAAATTTTCAGAAGAGCACGAGGCTGAAAGCTCGGTTTCATTGAGAGATAATGGTGGTGAATCCACGATACAATCAATATCTTCTGATGTTGATTCTTCAATGACTGTAACTGTCAATTATGTCAATCAGGAAAGTAGTGACATTCAAACAGCAAAACTTGTGCTATCTTCTGGTGCAGCTTTATTGCCACATCCCTCTAAGGTATATTACATATAATCTTTTTGGCTTTTCATATGAATTATTGTGATGTTCTATCTTCTGAAATTCGAGAATAATGACCTCGACACCACAAGATGATAAGAGATCAATTTACATCGCACTGAGACTCAGAATTTTACGCTATTTGTTTGGTTATATTGATACTAAAGTACATCACAAAGTGAGTATATCATTCCAGATTGATATATTGGTAATTAATGGTTTTTTATCTCCTCTATGACATTAAGCATTATAAGTAATTCAAATAAATAATAAATTCCAGGCATTGACAGGTGGAGAGGATGCATATTTTGTGACCAATCAGAACTGGCTAGGCATAGCTGATGGAGTTGTTCAGTGGTCTCTCGAAGGTATTCCTTTCTAATATGTTTGAGTTTTACGCTTTGTGAAACCATAATGCTAGTTTTACTTTGTGCATACCATTCTTGTTATCATTCTTTACCTCAAATCTGAATTGGAGCATACAATTACGTTCATTTCCATCTATTCAGGAATTTATCCGGGATTATATTCCAGAGAACTCATGGAGAATTGCGAAAAGGTTATATTGCAGTCTGGCAGTGATTCGGGAACTGATCCTAAGGTAGTTCTTAAACTGAGCGTGGCAAAAGTAGAGTCTCCTGGATCCTCAACGGCTTTGATTGCACACTTTGATGGTCAGGTACTATGGTGTTGATTCAAATCCTCTTTGCTTGAAGTATAACGAAAATGGTTTACGTTAGCAAATTACAAAACTGGGATCCATTAAGCTCCTCGGGTGCTCGCTGTAAAGTACAGCTGAATGGTTGCAGGCTTTCCATGTGGCTAATATCGGAGACTCTGGGTTTATGATCATAAGGAACGGTGTCATATATAAGAAGTCATCTCCAATGCTCCATGAGTTCAATTTCCCCATGCAAATCGAAAGCGGTGATGATCCCTCTCAAGTTGTGGAGGTAATAACTACTTGGCGTGAATATGCATAAAAGAACTCGATTTAGTAACTCCATTTATGTTTCCCTGTTCTTAGAAGAGATCTAATATATCAAGCTGATCAAATTCTTCCGGTTTGAATATTTTTACATCAGGAATACAGAATTGAGTTAGATGAGGGGGACATCGTGGTCACCGGAACTGATGGTCTTTTCGACAATTTGTATGCACAAGAAATAGCATCGATTATCACAAAATTGTTGGAAGCTAACGAAACACCTAAGGTGCCTGCAGTTCTATCTTCTTCCCCCCACCCTCCCCTTACTAGAATGAGTAAATAACATAAGATGGGTGCATTGGTTTTTTAATTTTTACATACACGGGGAATTGATTTTAAGGCTTAACCTCGAATCTATGACACTAGACTACAAGGTCCTTATGGGTATTGGTTTTATACCTTACCTAAATAGGTGATTACCCATTCTTTTTGAATTTGAAGTAAGACATTGTAGTACAAGCACTTTGAGAAACCCGTAGACTATTGAGACATCTTGCAATTTAACTTTGTTGGGTGGAGGGCGGTGAAGGGCCAAGTCCAGCACTAGGTGGCTAGGGGATTGTTGGGCGAAGGCTTGAAGGGCCAAGTCCAGGACCCTGTCTCTCGAAAATGTGGCGGTATAAGGAAATAAAGCTTCACCTTCGCTACAAGCTATAGCTTTTAGTGTAATGGTAAGCGTTTGACTCTAACACGTGGTATCAGAGCCAGTTCACAAACAGGGCTAAACGCCTCCACCAAGGCTCCGGGACAAGAGCAACGAGGCCTTTGGGATTGGGGTGCAGTCCTTTTTTTTTGGTGTTACCAACTACTTCCTCACATCCCTTTTCTTGATCCGAAAACCTGAATTCATCCTACAAAGCATTGTTTTATCCTATGAAAGAATTCTTTGTTTCTATCCAACCAGGAAATTGCTGAGATCTTGGCTACAAGGGCACAGGAAGTTGGTGGCGCCACGTCGGGAAGAACCCCATTTTCTGATGCAGCCCAAGCAGCTGGATATGTGGGGCAAACTGGAGGAAAGCTTGATGATGTAGCTGTAATTGTGTCACTGGTTCAAGATCCCACTCACTGAGTGGCAGACAGACAGGGTATAGTATCAACTGCTTTATGTTGTGCCAACATTATTCTGGCTCCTTAACCATGATTATTCAAAGAAAAACATGTTTTCCTCTTCATCTTCCTGTATCTTAACTTGGGCAATCGATGTTGGATGGCCTAGCTCTTTTGCAGTTGACCATTTTATTAATCAAAAGCTTATGGAGAAAAGCAGAGTGATTAGTCTTAGATAGCTGTGCTAATCTTGAATCATTAACTTTCTGGAAAAAAAGAGGTTTTGGTGTTTGAATAAGTTGACTTTTCTTCAACATTTGGGACTGTTTTTATGACAGAGTTATTATAAATCAGTTCAATTTTAGTAAATAGAAAGTTTATTTTTATTATATTATACCTTCATATTTTGAAGGTTCATTTTTAGTATATTATCAAAAAATAAATTTTTAGTGTATTAATAAATATGAATATTTATTACGCTAGAAACGGCGATTGATTGGTGTACAATGTTGAAACTAATGATGGCCTCACTTGTGAACACTTTTTCTTCTTGTGTATATTTCTGTATATTGGTGGGGCATACTTTTGAGCATCCGCCGAAAAATGATTAAAATCAAGGCCTGATTGCATTATGCGAATTGTTTTTAGCATATAATATAAAATATAAAATGTGTGATTTAATTATCAATTTAAATTTTTATTTGAGACGAAATATATCTTTCAATTGTTATTGATTCGTGAAATGGAGTATGAAAAATAGAAATGTGAGGGCAATGATTACTTGGCATGGGTAATAAAATTAGCTTTAAGATGAGCAGCTAACTTTGCCAATTTCAAATGAGAAATGGGCGTTAATTTTGGCATAAAGCACATTCTACTTTTGGGCTGCATGCTTATTATTGTATAAGCATGACATTATACTCTCTCTCTCACTTTAATTTGCTTCCATCTCTCAATCAATAATTAATGTATGTGATGTATAATTCAACTGCTCCAATCTCACCCTTTATTATTAATAACAGTGTAATTAAAGTAAGCTCATACGCATTTAGTTCACTGATTCGTAAATAATATTTAGAAAAAGAGATCAAAATTTGAACTATGACAGCAATAATGTATAGATTTCTTATATGTACTGTCATTTGGTACTGTCTATTGAGCTGAATAAAAATTGAGATGAAATATATATATTTTCAATTCTTTCAAATATTAAAATTTTCAATTTTCAACAAACACCCTATCATCCGGAACCGTATAGTCTAGCAAAGAAACGAGACATCAATTCCGTGGCCATTACGCCACGTGCCCCCCCAAATTTCCATGTTCACATGATACCCGATTCTCACTCGTAACTCACCCGACCCGACTCATTGAGCCCAGCCGGTCCCCCCCATCTCCATCATTATATAACCCACCCAAAGAGTCCAAGATCTTTCACTCACCACGGCCTCAAAATTCTCCGTAATTGTTTCTCCGGCTTTCTTTCTATCACTCAAAATTTTTCAAAAATGGCGACGGGACTGAACACTATCGGGCCACTAGCGGTGGCCATGCTCGCAGTATGGGCGATCGCAGTGGACTCCGCGCACCATGCAGCGCCGGCGCCGGCGGTGGATTGCAACAGCGTCATCCTCAACCTGGCCGGTTGCCTGACCTTCGTCACCAACGGCAGCACCGAGGCGAAGCCGCAGGGGAGCTGCTGCTCCGGCCTCAAAATGGTGCTGAAAACCAACGCGGAGTGCCTGTGCGAAGGGTTTAAGAACAGCGCCCAGCTCGGCGTCGTCCTCAACGTCACCAAAGCCCTCGCTCTCCCCTCCGCTTGCCACGTCTCCGCTCCCTCCGTTAGCAACTGCGCCTGTCAGTATTTTCTTCTTCACTCATGAAATTTGAATTCATACATTTTTAAAAATAATTTTCTCTTTACTTTTCAACAATTTACAGTGAACACCGGCAGCATTTCTTCTCCAGGTACGTCTCCGTCTCTCAGATCTGTTCTATAACTTCCTTTATCCGAAAAACAAAAAATGAAAATATTTAATTATTATTTTTTGGAATTTATTGATAATTGTGTGAATTTATATAAATCAATCAATTATTAAACCTTATTACAGTATATTTGTTCTATTTGATGTGTTGATTTATAGTTGATAAAGTGTGAAAGAAGTTATTTATAATATTAAGTTTAGAATTATTATATAAATTTTATATATTTATTATACATTAAAAACTATGAAAGCTGAAAGTTAGTCAGTTTATTCGTGTTTGTCAATTAATTATGGATAAAAATATGGAAGTTGAAGGTTAGTCAGTATATTTTTTATCCTTTGTCGGCTGACACCTTCAAATATTAAACTATATAGCTAAATTCCGTAACTTGGGCATCATAAATGTGACCTGCATTAACAGCAGGTGGGTGGGACCAAACAAACTGTATCAGTGTATGGCATTGATTTTTCATATTTCTAAATAGATTTCATCATTTCAAGAAGCTGAAAGATAACCGAGCTTTTGGTTTACTACTTCAATTCTAGAAGAAAAAAAAAATAAAGAATGGTAATATGGTGATTTTAGTCAATTAGTTATACTCATAGCAGAAAAAAAGAGTCAATTAGTTATACTCATATTATAGATTGGGTTAATCATTAATGAATTATTACTCTACATAAATTTTACCCTTTTAATTATGTTTAAAGTGACAACTTTAGTCCACCACTAACAAATTATGTTAATATTAATAATGCATTTTAAGTTTTCAAAATAATGAAAATATTGAGGGACACCTTAGTAATTTTGTATTTATAAAAATTCAATTAAGTGTTTTGGTTTCTAAGTTTACTAAATATTACTAGTTGAAATGGTGTTGTTTCATGTCAATAAATTAGAGTGAGTATTCAATATACAAGCACTTTCAATTCATGTCATTTCCATTTTCTTTATATATATATATATATATATATATATATATATATATATAAACAGTGGTTTTACCAATATTGCATTAAATTGATATGAATGTACATGCATTAAATTGATATGAATATACATATTATAATTCACAAATCAATGATTGTTATTTGAGCATTCACTTTGCTTAACAAAAACATTACAAATAGAACATATTGGCAATATATTACACATATATAAATATGAAACCAAGCATATAAATATCATCTTGATTATTTAGAAACATAAATTCATTATCTAGTAAATTGACATTTAACTTTGAAGCTAAAGATGTAGATACGCACTTATAAATCTTTGAAGCTAAAGATGTAGATACGTACTTATAAATCTTAGAATAAATTTAGTTGATGGAATTTGAGAACTCTATGAAATGGCTAATATGTCTTTAATAATTTAAGAATTCAAAGTGCAATATTAATTTTAATAGAATTTGTTAGTAATGGACTAAAACAGCCACTTTACACATAATTAAAGGGGAAAGTATGTATATAATAATAATTCATAGATTGAAGTATAATTAATGGACTAAAACCGTAATAAAAGGATAATTTTCTTGTATGGAAAAATATTTCATTTACTTTAATTCTTTAGAAAAATAGAAAACTTCCCCTTTTACTTCAAATCAAATTGGTCCACACACAAAAAAAAATTGACTTTTTGAGTTGGTAAATGTACATTTCCTTGAAGTGTTTGCTTAAAATTGTTGGTGACACATGGTTTTCTTGTAGCTCCATCGCCATTAGCGCAACCTCCAAGCTCAATTGCAGTCGCACCTATAGGATCTAATCAGGTAGCGCCCGGGCCAGCTCAGGGAGTGCCACCGTCTTCTGCAATGGCAGCGGCAGGATCCATTGCCGCCACTGTGACTGCGGCAGCCGCAGCAGCATTGCTGGTGGTGTTTTGAGACAGGGTTGGGGAATTGTGTTTGTGATGTTTGATCATAGTAGTATAGTATAGTGGTATATTTAGTAGGTGGTGTTTGTCTGGTATTATAGCTGGAATTATTGTCGTGAGGGAGAAAACAGGGTATTGGTGTCACTTGTCAGATGCCTGCAGGTTTTGAATTTGAATGATTATGGATGGGGACATGTTTTGCTGGTTTCATATTTCTTTCTTTCCTTCTTTCCATTGCTAACTAATATAGCTGCCACCATTCTTGATGAAGCACATGCTCTGGGGTTTATCATGTACATTATAAATCCTTTCCTGATTATGTACTTGTTGTACATAATTTGATTCAGAACCCTCAATACATATGGTAAATTCTGATATTACACTGAGAAAAGTATGGTCTAAAAATTGTATAGTACACTTAAAGTTGTCAAAACAAGCTTTGTTTGTCGTGTTCGTCTTTTCCATCACTTTAGAGCATTCTCACTAATACTTTTTTCTTAATTTTTTATATGATATGGAAGGGTGGAAGAAAGAGAAGAAAACAAATTTGCAAGAAATAAAATTATTTTTTTTTTTAAATCGCACGCGTGCATTGCACGTGCCTATATCACTATTTTTTTATTTTTTTAATTTTTGACAAACTTGTTTTTCTTTATTTGCCTCCCCCCCCACCCCCTTTTTTTTTTTTTTTGCTCTTTGTCACTCTCTCTCTCTCAATTGGACTGACAAAAACTCCCTCCATTGAGATTGCTCTTATATAGGTAAGAGATAAGTTTCAATTTTAGCAGCTTGCAAAGAGTGGGCCTCATAGGCCCGCAGCCTTACTTTCCGCAAATTATGCTGTGCAACCGAATGCACCTTGCAAGGTGCATACGGTTGCAAAACGGCACCGTTTTGATTAAAAAAACGTGCGTCCCACTTAAAGAATAAATCAGGTTCGATTCCTGGCAATAGCATTTTTATATATCTAGAAATTCATAACTATATATCCACAGTGAATGAATGAAGTAAAAATTCACAATGAATGAATGAACTAAATATCCACAATGAATGAACTAAATATCTACAATGAATGAACTAAATATCTATAAATTCATAACTATATATCCATAAATTCATAACTATATATCCACAATGAATAAACTAAATATCTATAAATTCATAACTATATATCCACAAATTTATAACTATATATCCAGAAATTCATAACTATATATCCACAATAATGCTATTGCCGAGAATCGAACATGAATTTTTTTTTTTTTAAAGTGGAACGCGCGTTTTTAGTCAAAACGACGTCGTTTTGCATCGTATGCACCATGCGCATGGTACATTCGGTTGCATAGCATAACTATTTGCTTACTTGCCCTTAATTTATATAACTATGGATTGAACCTGATAGCAATGAAATTAGAATAT